TCTCCTGGGTTCCATGATCTGAAACCTCACGGACTGCTTGATGCGCCATAGCCTTGCCTTGACTCAAGGCTCCAGCGGTGATGTTGGATGAAATCTCCGGCAAGTTGAAACCAATGTGTCTCAACCTTTCTGCCATGTCCTGATCAAGATTCTGCAGCTGCTTAACGGTGTAACCTACCACCGTGGATCGGACACCCCGATGGTGATCAGCTCCGTGCCACCGTCGTGGGTCAAACTCATGTGCCTTTTGACATATGTCTAGCAGGACTCCCGTCTTGACTTCATCATGCGATATACGTCTCTTGACTGTTCCACTTGGATCTTCAACCCATAGCTTCCCGCCTGTGAAGTTGGAAATTCCGATGATTCCAGCCGCCGACCCAACCGCGTTCGTCAAGTCTCTATGCGGACGCAGAGTGGCATCAATTGCTAGTGAGATCGTGGTGAATGTCAACGTCGGCAGCTCCTGTCTCATAAATTTGACAAGTAGCTTTGTCAAGAAAGGCCGCTCACGAGTGATTGAAGTGATTCCCGTCACACCTCCATGGCAGAACATCCCGAAGATCCAGATCTGCGCTCGATCTTGCTCCGGATTCACCAACATATCCTGCCTCTGTGTCCTTTGACCTCTCAAGTGTGCCTCCTGGACAAGTCGCCGCACATCCTCATGCGAGATGCTGCTACGACTCAAAAGCTCTCTAGCTCTAGCCTCTGACTCCCAGATTGCCTTGGTGATCTCCTCGCTCTCTTCGGTTGTCATGCGATATGCTTCTTCATTCCACACAGCCTCACACAACTCCTCAATGGAACATGTTTGACAACTCTTCCACTCAAGAGCTGTCTCTGTAGCTGCGCGCGCAGCTGTTGGCTTGTTTTTGAAGTGTTTTGAGAGCATGATCCGAATTGGCTTGAAGCTCTTCCCAATCCAGGAAAGGCAATCCATTCTGAATCCTGCAATCCACACGTTGCTCATGCCCTTGACTGTCAAGATAAGATACCGTGGCTGCCTCTCGATCCCACTTGAAGGTTCCACCAGCTTCTACGAGTCGACGAACACTCAACAGCCAGTCCCTGCTATCCTCCGTGGACTTGATGCACAACTCTCCATCTCTGGTTCTAAGCGCGGCCACTCGATCACCACGCGCCGTTACAACGGCCGTGCGGGTGCATTCCTTTATGTCCGCGAGCCAAGGGCGAATAGTCTCATTAGCACCCGAATCCACCAACACCGACGGCTGCTGACTGATCACTGCACTTCCAGCTGGATGATCAATGCACTCAAGTCTGCTGGCGATGATTGGTTCAGCCCTAGCTCCAACCAACATGGGAGGTTCCCAATCCGGCTCTTCCTCTACGCACAAACACCGCATAGCTGTCGGCACCGTTGCTCCTCCTCCTCGAGGTGCTCTCGCCACTGCTCTTGCTTTGGGAAATGCTGTAGCTGTGGCTTGAGGGGTTGCAATGAATGGAACCTTGGATGCTCTCGCTACTGCTTTTCTCGTCCACATGACGAAATCTTCAATCGTCAAGTTTAACACCCATAGACGAAGTGGATGCAACTGCCGATGCTGGTCCTCATCCTCCCCCTCATCTGAAGAAGGCTCTGCACTAGAGAAATCGCCACGCTCCACTTCCGACCACTCTGGGGTATCACCCTCAGCCCTCATAGGAATCTCTGATTCAAGTGACTCTGATCCGCTCACATCGTCACTCTCACAATCTAGACTCTGTGCCATCATGACGCGTGGAGCTGTTGACCGGGATGAAGTCAACCCTACCGCACCAACCGACGATGGGACTTCCTCTGAAACCGCGCTAGCAACTGTCACCACCGACGAAGCCTTAGCTGATGCTGCTGCCTTTGCTGCTGCTTTGGCTGCCCTTTTTTCTGCTTTCGCCTTGGCCTTCGCTTCTTGAGCGGCTTCAGCCTTTGCTTCTTCAGCCGCCTTTACATCTGCAGTCGCTTTCGCGTCACCCTTGCTAGATTGTTTCCCCTTCTCAGAAGAGGAATTTCCAGCATCCTTCCCATCCTTTCCGCTCTTGCCCTTGGCACCCTTCCCCTTGTTTGCAATCTTTTCATGCCTGAATTCGCAATCTGCTCCTTTTAGGCAACCTCTGGCAGTATTGAAGTAAGAGCATTACGGCTTTGCACCGACACCCTTTCCCCCAGTAGCCTGATTGGCCGAAGGAATGGCATACTCATCACCCTCATGTTTCCGATGGTCCTTGGACGACGAAGATGTCGGCTCTTCAGCTTGAATCCGGGTACATTCGGCTTCCAATACCTGAAGGAACGATGTCACCCCGTCGTGGGATGGTACCTGGATATTATGCTGCAATCTAAGTAAGCTCAGTCTTGTTCCCAACAGAGCGTGTTTTTCCTCCAGCTGTTGGCATAAACTGTTCAGTGCAGCAATCGATTCGTGAGGAGTCTGTTCTGGTACTCCTAAATGATCCGCGCGTTGCTTGGCCAGTCTCCACCTCCTGAGCGTAGCAAGCAACTCCTTGCAAGATGATGCCGTGGGAAGTTGCCTGAGAAATCTCTGCAACGACACTTGCTCAGTGATGCCGCCTGGCATCAGCACCTCGCTCACCGTCTCCATCAATGCAATAGTGGATACCGCCTCATTTGGAGTCCCCTTCTCAAGAGCAGGTTGCTTCAAGGACGACGGGATTGCCTTAAGCAGAGCTAGGCTCAATCGGGTTTCCATCTCCCTTTCATCCGGATGAACTACTGGCAAAGTTGACTCACAACCATCCCTCAGGCGCTTCTCATAATTGGTTTGTCCCTCCTGCGCTCGCTTTCGAAAGAACTGGGCAAAAGATGGGGAGATCGCTTCCGCCAGTGACGCGGCTTCTGTGCACCACTGTCTAAACACAACTCCCTTTTCCCACGGTTCCCCGGTTCCCCATGAGGAATCGTGAGTTTGGGAAAATCTTTGATCAATTTCATCTGTCCCGCCGGAATCTTCGCACCAGAATTTCTTAGACCTGGAGGCTCTGCAGGAGCTGACTGCACAACCTGAGGGTCCTCTTCCTGGTCTAGCCATTCATCAACAGCATCCTTCTGCCACGGATCCTCAGCTCCATCGCGCTGGGGAGTCATCTGGAACATCTGGACGCCTGATGTTGTGCGATGCTTTGGCGTTTCAGTTTCAATGATTTCCTGAGCCTTCGCCGCCTCCTCAAATCTCTCATAATGTACCTCTTCTGCAATCTGCTGGGGCATCCGAGGTTGACGACGAAACGATGAAGCTCCGGACTCCCCGCTAAACCCCACATCAACGTGAGTTTGCCAGGTTTCAAACCGGCTGGTGAGATCTTCTGACCGCTGTCTAAGCTTCTCACAGAGTTTCTCATTCCCATCCACACGTTCAAAGAAATGTTTCAACAACACATCCATCTCATCCATTCTACGCTGGATGCGGGTCTCACTCTCTTCACTCTTGATCTGCGCGCTTTGTTGTATGGTGGGTTGTTGATGCTCAAGGCTTGACAATGCAGCTTTCATCGAAGCCACTTCATCTCTCAGCGCGTCCGCTGAGGTAGCCTGGGTTTGCAACTGTATAATCTGATTCTCAAGGGCACCCAACCGAGTCTCCATCGTAGACTCAAAGGCGACCTGACGCCTCGACATATGGGTAACTGCACTCTCTATCTGCTGGATCTGTTCTCCAAGCTCCTTGAATTTGCCGTTGGCGTTGTTCAAGGCAACATGATGATCACTCGCAGCATTGAGCAGTCTCTCTGTTTGATGCTTCACTCCATCTAGGTCCCCGGTAATTCCCGACAAGCACGATGCCAACCGCTCTGTTCTTGCCTCAAGCTCCTGAGCCACCAAACGAATATTGCTCTGCACGTCCTTGATGGTCTTAGCATCGGCTACGACGGCAGCTGATGATTGAAGCAATCTCAGAACTTCGGCCGGCGCCTGAATCTGCAACATTTGCTGCATCCTCATACGCACCACATTTTCTGATGATGATTCATCGAAATGCTGAAGCTGTGGCGAAACTGAAGCACTCGCTGCAGAAAGGGATTGCGGTGGAGCATTTGGGCTCATCACCTGTGAGTGGTGACGGCTGCTGTCAGTGATGATGCTGAATGCTGGAGACATAATCTGATGCTGCTGCTGTTGTTGCTGCAGATTCATCCTTACACTATGTGGAACATCATCTAAAGAACTGTATTCCATGTCACCATCAACACTACACAGCTCACCACCTTCAAATCAAGCTCCGAATAACCCTGAAAGAGTCAAGGAAGAAAGGGGAACCAGGATACAGGGGGTATCCTGGGAACCACACCCCAAACCCTCAATCGGAAACGTCAAAACCCTTCGCCGAGACCTTGGTGCACTTCTCGATTTGTGCATCATGCTTGAGCCACATGAGTGGCGTGTCATCCTTGCGCAGGGGCCATGCTTCAATGGACCTGGCAATGTCATCCTTGCACAGGGGCCATGCTTCAATGGTCCTGATAAAAGGCCTTAGTACACTTCTCGATTTGTGCGGATCGGCTGCGCAAACACAGCATTTCCTGCCGAGTGCCCGGGGTCGTCCCCAGGTAAGATATCTTCTCGTCAAGGTGCCTTGGTTGACTAGGGCATGGCCTCAAAGTCAAACAGCCGTGCTTGTCAAGGCTATAAGGCGAACAAGTATGTGTGCAAGTGCTTTGTGGTTGTTTCGAAGGAGACAGGCGTCAAGGACTTGAGAGTCTGGGGGTAGACAGTCTTCCTCGATCTTCCTGGGTCTTTACCAAGGTCATTTATGGTCTATTTTACCTGCTGTTTCGCAAAAGCGGGCAGCTGTTCCGTCACACGCCTACAAGCTGCCTGCATGCTTGGCATGATCGGGCTACACTCCGACCCGCATGCTTTCAGCTCCCAATTATGCGGGTCGTACCGCGAGTCTGGTTTTCCGCAGGGTTTCTGTGTCCCTTTGTGCCTCTAGGAAACTTGAGCTGGATTGAAATTTCGGGTTGCAGCTGCAGCTCCGAGGCGCCCGACGATGCTATCGTCACTCCCCAAGGTGCCGGAGTAAAGCAGGGACTTCAGTGGGGGAGGGGCTACCAATCAAGAGGAAATTCGAGTGGTGCTGGTACCCCAACTCCACCCTTTGTCAGGACCAGTTGCCTGGGCGACGTACACCCGATCAGCGGTTGCCAGCGGTGAAGTGGACAGAATTCTGACAAACTCCGGCCATACTGTTCATTGCTGTCAAGACATGCAAAGAATCAGTTTGCTTCTGACGGTCGGAACCTGACAGCAGCTGACAGCCAGTCGTACCGTCATTTAGTTTGGGACTGTTCATGGCACTGAATCCGCGGCTTGCTTGTTCCGTTGAGGCTGGCATTTGGACAACCGAGCGCACAGCGAACTCGTGGTGGAAACATGAACTGGAAACCAGAGAAGCGCGTGACCGAAACTGGCTCCTAGTAATGGAATCCGGGCCAGGGTCGTGGGTGCACAGGCCTCCGGTCTCCGTTGCCTCGTTTCCTGGCTCCCGTTCGAGAAACCATGCGACCTCTTGGGCGATTTCCGTTACTGTGCCAATTGGCCATTCGGATTCTTGCACTATCGGTGGGGTTTCCGGTCCTCGCACGGGCTTTCTTGGTTCCCGCAGCGACCTTTGGTCATGGTTGCTTTTGCTGCCTTTTTCTCCTGTCTGTTACGATCCTTGCACAATGGTGCGTATATTGTGAGTGCATTACGTGCCATTACACGAACGTTACGGATTGCACAATCCGCATAATCGTCTGCTGCGTTGCTAGCCCGGACCCAGACGTCAAGCAACAAGCTCTGCATATTAGAAATGCCAGACATTCAAAAGAAGAAAGCCAGAAGAGAAGCCTTCCTTGGATTCCTTGGTTGATCTATGCAACTCGCGGTTGTGTGTTAGTGCTGCAGATTACCATTGCAGAAACGTCTTAAATCTGTGAGCCCCAAGAATAAGAAGTCCTCGTCCGCAAGCTGGACCCCGCAGGTGTCTGTGCCGGCCTTATCCCACCAGCAGCCATGCGATGGAGCCACTCGGTGCCCCACCAGGACCTATGGTGCAGCAGTCGCATATTCAGGTCAGATGTTCGTGCCGCAGACCTTGCACGCCATTGCTATGTTCTAGGTGCTGAAGGTCGGGAGTCGAGTCTTGGCTTGGGCTGTTTAGTCATGCATGGCTTGATGGAGCATAGTTAGGCTCCCGGCGGGTTCAGAGTTTTTGATCGGGTGATGGACAGTTTCGAGCAGCACTCGCTCAACTGCCAGTGAATGAAGCCGTGCAAAGATGATTTCTAATCCATCACGGCCTAACTGATTCCCTGTCTAGACTATAGATGGCAGTGACAGGTGAAAGTTCTCTGGTCAACCTCCCATTGCTACTGCTCAACCTCCGGAGCAGTGCCAACACCGAACACCCTTCTCTTTGAATCCGTGCTTCCACGTGTCGAGGACGCATCCTGGGTTACCTTGCTGGTTGAGAGCTCCTCAGGTAGGCCGTGGGCCGTAATTAGGGCGGCTAGGAGTCGTTCAACGATGCAGAACCATTTAGCCAGACGACGATGGAGGTTTAGCGAATCCACGACAGATTGCGAAATTGCGATGTAGCAGGTTCCTGGGACAGGCTGAGGTTGCTTGGCAGGATTTGTAATCGATCGGCCTGTGCAGAACGAAATGCTGGGTGACTTTGGCCCCATCCTGGTTCCGCAGACATCGACACTGTAAGGGTGTAGCTCGGGCACGAAACCGGCCATGCATCAAGTGCCATGCAACCTGTCTTGCACACGCCAGGCTCGAAACCCAGAACTAGTGCCCAGTAGACCAATCTAAAGCAGGGCTCCTCATCAAGCCGAACCGTCTCGACAGCTGGCAGAAAGTCAGCTTCGCGCGGCCAGGACCACCTTCCGTGGTTACTCAAAAGGTTCTTCTGCAAGCCTGACCATGACGAAAGGGGAAAAGATTCTCATGACCGTGCTGACGATGATGCTGGTGATGAGGATACCGCGTCATTGCTGCGGCTGTTGATGTTTTTGTTGCTGCTGATGCTGATGATGACGATGATGAGCTATGAGGATGATGATGATGACGATTGTCGTAGTGATGTCGAATAACCGGCGATGGTCAAGCGTAGATGATAGGGATGACGGAGTGATGAACAGGGATGGCGACGATGGTTAGCAAGCAGTTATCAGTAAGCCCATGATCATATAGTTGACGATCGCATTGCAGTTACGGCCATGGTGAGGTTCAGAACCTGGTTTAGTATCATCCAGGTTTGCATGTTGAATTTGCCAGGTATCTGTACTACCCATCAGTTACTCAGTCGAGTCCATCCTCTGAGAGTCATCATGTCTTCCTTCGTCCTTCGCTTACTGACGCTGGTGGTGGATTGATCCAGTCAGTACTGCTCTTTTGCCACTCGTGTGTTTGCCGACAGTTGTCGCCCCAGCCCCCAGCCACAAATCCACAGACCCACCACGATGCTGCTTTTCCGAAGCCGATGCCGCACCAGGACACCTGCTGGTCCTCGTTGGCGCTGCGCTTGCTTTGGCATCCCAAGGTTGACGGATGGGATCAATTGTGCATCAATACTCATTCGGGGTTCGGAAGTTCCGATTCAGGCGGGAAGAGTCCCCCAACTTGGCATATTTCCGGCAAGGAGCCAGTCGCCAAGATAGCATCTCATTTGCGATTTCCCAGGTGTACTTGCGGATAGCTTACACAAGGCGCCTACTCTTTCGGAACATCCCATTCGAAAGGCCAGAAATGGCCGCGCGGAAGGTAAAAGTAAGTAAATGTTTTGCGGTCCGCGAGTCAATGGGGTTCGCTGCTGTGCATTGAGAGGTCATTCCCAAACTCAACGAAACATGGATTTGCACAGTCTTGCCGGAAAGTACATCGAAGCATTCCCTTCAAACACCACAAAGCCCGTTGTCCTGGAGGTCATTACCCGGCGCCTTGTCACGCTGTGCAGGCGAGCTGCACCCCCTTATCTTTTAAAGCAAGCTCTTGTCCATGCTTGCTTCAGGGAAAGTCATCCCCTTCGTGGATTTTATCATGTTCAGAAGACATATCGCCAGGTGCTGCATGAGCTTTCGGGCGTGCTTCCAGAATACTGTGCGGCAGAGCGTAGCCTATACTACAGAATCTATACAACAGCATAGCATAAATTAGCGGACTGAGCCCGCATCTCCTGAGAGACTGGAGACGGCTCGCTGTCGGAACATGCCCCCCATCAACATCCTGCAAGTAAATCATCACAGCCTTGTGGTCCTGATCTTTGGCAGCCAGAAAACCCCCTGCACCGGGATCTAGATTTGGAGGGAGCGGCGAGGAATTCGGACCTCGGATTTGGGGCTCCGGCTTGTAGAGTGGTGCCAGGAGGAGTCTCCCGGAGTCTGGCCGTTATCGTGATTGCTGCGATGACTTGCATTTGGAATACTTCGTCACTCATGAGTCGTCAGAGGTTCCCTCTTCCTTCCGCCTGTCTTGGGCATGGATCTCTCCTGCGCATAGCTGCACCTCGGCAGGCGACAGGAAGTCGAGTCCCATGCACACTAATTAACCTTGCCTGCAGTATTGCTTGGTCCTGTCTGTGTGCTTTGGGTACGATCTCCGAAAGTTGAGGGCGCGCGCAGACCAATGGTCTGATTGAGGATGTGTGACCGAATGCTTGAAAGCTCCGTTAAATTGTCAGAATGGGCTGCCTGGTTTCCTGGTCTGTCGGTCTGATAGAAGAAGCTAGTGTGTCTATTCTTCCTTTGCAGTCACCCAGGAGCACCTCAGTTGTTAATGGTGCGAGGCTTTTCGAAATGTTTCGTCTGTTATCTGCTATAAACTGGCGCCGACAGGTAGATCTGGCACGTCCCTCCCTCTCCTGGTCTGTAGCTAGATCATACCGATATATATATATATATATACAAGTGCAATTTCGCGTG